GCAATACTATAGTATTAGAAATTTTACAGTATTATAGTAGTTTGATAAATGCTAGAATATTGAATGATTGCCATATTCATAAACAATGTTTTTACATGGTTAGGTACTGTACCACAGTAAAAAAGTTTATAAGCTAATATTCACCTCACTGAATGTTTAGCAACCTTTAGCTTCCTAAACTTCAAAACAGACATCACATTTAGTCTGTGTGCTGCTGCTTATATTACCACAGCTAATTATATCACATTCACATGATATAAAACGCATCAAATCCAATCCAAGGACAACACAACTTGAATATTCAGGAATAAAATCCACTAAATAGGATTAGAAACCGCTCATTTACACATCAGGAGGCGTTAGCTTGGTAGCTAGCTACTTTTTACTAGCTGCTAGCTGCCATAACATAACCCTGGGTATGAATATAATATCCAAAAATTAAGGGTATAATCATGGTACCATATCCAAAAACCATGGTAATTTTCTGTGGTACGTGGTAAAGCACAATCAAAGAGTTTAAACCATTTCAATAAAAACAAACATTGTTTACAATCATAACTGTGTGCATCTGAAAACTGTTTGTAGCATCTGAAAATAGTTGAATGTTTTATGACAATGGCATTTTTGTCTGACATTTATTAGGGAGAAAAATTATTTCTGGAAAATGTCTGAATGTAATCTGTCCTGAAATGATTAAAAACTCCTCAACCCTGCTGAAATCAAGCGGGACTAGGTGGTAGCTGGTTTAAAATGGCTATAATATATTGCCATTTATGATCATTAGCTGATCTAGATGGCTGATAAGCTAGGGTTAAAAAAAAACATGAGGGTGAGTAAATTAAAGAATTAAAATTTTTAGGTAAACTTTTCCTTTAAAAGCAGTGAGCACATTACTAATAAATGCTAAATGGTCGGAATGCTAGTCTTTCTGAATATTAAAAGTGATCCTGTGCACATTGAGATGACACTCATGTGCTTTCAACCACATAGACAGAAAAAAGAGATCAGTCAAATTAAAATTAACTACCCAATACGTATGTATGCTAAACTTTGAGGCTGGTTTAGTTAGATTAACCCAGGATAGGCCTTATTCAAATAAGGACATTTTAGTAGCTCTTATAATCGTGCCTTAAAAAAACATTACTGGTGTGCATCGACAAAACAATGGCAGTGACATTTGTCAGTGCAAGTTGCTTTCAGTTAAAACAGCTCAAACATGCATTTTAGTCTGGTACTAGACTTAAGCACTGTCTGTGAAACCGAGAGTTTCAGTGTCGTTAGCTTAGCCGCATGCTAACACCAAACTCTACAGGAGTCAATTGTGAGTCAAGTCTGCAGTGCGCTTCCTGTTTAGGGAGTTCCAAATCAGTCACATAAGGTTCACTTCCACTTACTGCTGCCTTAGAAGGAAGCTAGCTAGCTAGTTAGCCACCCACATATTTCAATCAGGCCAAATCTCCGATTGTAGCCTACAGTTTAACCGACCACACTTTTTTATTCATTGACTTGAAATAAGTTTTTTAATTATTTATGTTGAATAATTGTTCTTTTAATTCTATTAAATTAATAACACATACCCTGACTTGGCCTATCCACCTTATTTTTTATGTAAAAACGGGCGAGGCCATGAATGTGCTAGGCTTCCTCTGTCATCTACTTCTGGTTATTTTAACTGTATACAAAAACGGTCCGTTATGCTACTTGACATTGCAAACTGTAAATAATATAGGTTACCATATTATTTCAATGTATTATCGTAATTATAAACACTTCCATTCCTTCTCTTGACACGTTTCCAACGCTTGTGTCCCTTCCTCTCTAGCCCCGGGCCACTTCCTCTTCCCATTCCGGTCTTTCTTTCCCTGTCTGGCTCCATCTCCAGGGATCTCTGTTCCCCTCTCTCTACATCTCTGTTTTGTCTGCTTCTGTTGCTAAGGCTAAAGGGAGACGGAGGAGTGTTAGCATTCCTCTCGAGCGACTGATCATGTCACAAGTGTACATAAATCACACACCGATACAGAGAGAGAGAGATTTGTATTATTTAGAAGCTGCACTCCATATGACAACACAAATATAAACTAGGCCTATATTTTCTCTGCGCTTGCTTCAGTTTTCTAGGTAGATTTTAGCATTGGATAGTGCGAGGAACAGACTGAAATTTTGTTTTCTTGGTGAATAAGTTGTCTTAGCTCGACTCCCAACCGCTTCAGGCACTTGCTGACTTCTTCAGGTGGGAGTTTGTGTAGTCTCCTGTGGCGATCTGGCCCACCCCTACATGTTTGTTTGCTTTCAGCCAGCCTTGTTCTTCACACCATGCTAGGTGTGAAAAGGGAGCCATTTCGTTCTGTCCGTGGCACGGTCAATACAGACTTGAGGATAAAAGCGCTGAGAGGAAATGTTTGAAACTGGTGAGGCACATTCTTGTGAGACGGCCGCATTAACACCAAGCCGAATGTAGCAAAGTAAGACGTTGTGGGAAGAAGGAGGCGGGAACTGGCGAACATACAAAGACTTTAATAATGTAAAATAACCAAACAACAAAACGAAAGTAAAGACAGCAGCCCCTCACGGACGACTGCTGTCACATATAATAAAACAAAACACAACATAAGTCCAGGCCTGTTCCTCTCTCGAGTCTCTCTGGGAACTTGGAACTCCAGGGAGTTTGAACAGGAATTTCATTTAAAGGTAAAATAAAATGAGTAATTGTACAGCAATGGGTAAATGTGCATTCCGTAGCAATTTCACCACTAAAAACGGAGAAAGTTTACGAATGCTGTTAAACTGTGTTGTAATAGTGACTAATGTAGCTGTTTCAAAATTTTATCGTTCACCTAACAAACGATTTAGAGCTTCACGTAGGCTAGACGGGTTACGCAAATAGTGCTCATGAAGTGAAGAAAGATTTGATTCACAGTTGACAAGTTTTAACATTAGCATGTTGCTAAGCTAACACTCCAATACTTTAAAGTCATCATGAAACGGAAATTGCGATAGTCTTTTCTTCCTTATTGTGATGTATATCCGAGTGAAATGTTTCTCAAACAAGAAAAAATGTAGGGCGGGACTTGATTTTGTCCAATGGGAATTCATTGGATCATTGTGGTTTGCTATTGGTCGATCTCATGTGAGTGACAGGTTGCTCTCCCACCAGTAAACACGTCATCAGAGAAGAGATGTTGCTGCACGAGAGATTGAAGGTATTTTGATTAGCAAGTTAGAAGTTTACGAGGCTACATGAATTTAACAAAAATCATGATGTGTGCAGATAAATTATTTATAATAAATGCTGCAATATTCAATAAACAATAAGAATAGTTGATTCTGATTTCATGGTGACTCATGGTCAACACTGTGTTTGTCTGTAGGACACACCCATCATTATGTCCTGCCCCAAATTCCTGTTGCAACAGGAAACGTTAGCCTGTACTGGTAGATGCTGTAACTTTATCTCCTTGGTTTCAGTAGAAAATAAATACAAATTGGGATCATAGGAAGAGAACATTTGTTAAATACGTAATATATGCACAATTTGAAACCAAGAATTTTTTTCAAATGACAAGATTCAGAAGAAATGATCGTGAGACCTGTTGTGATTGCACAAATTCTTTAATTAAAGGACCAAATTGTACATTTCAACAAGCAGTCAAATGACAAAAAGACAGAACTGCATTTGTACCTATCGTCTCGCCTACTTTCAGTGTGTTAGAATATTAAAATAAATCCAAACGTGATTTAAAAAAAATCAAACATGGAAAAAAAAAACATGGCAAATCATTGACATGGATGACATAATTTCTAAACAAATATTAAAACATTTAAATTCTGGAAAGTAAAATTTACCAGTATGGCACCATGTTCTTTTTATTTAAAGTGTAAAACTTCTTCTTAAAATATACAAACAGAACACATTACCTGAAAAAATTATACAATATTTACTCCAAAAAACATCTCTCTAGAAGCCTACATCTTGTGCCGGAGAAAAAGTAAAACCTGGTTAGGTTGCAGTGCTCTTTAAAATAGTGCTTACAACAATATGAAATAAGTTTTTTGACTATTTACAAACTTGTACTCTTTAAACATTTTTGTAAATGATTGTCATATTGTTTTCTCATATACGTGTTAAAGAAATTTGAATCCATAGATGAGCCAGTGGTAACTCTTATAAGAAATGTCTGTAAATACAGCATTGTACAAAGGGATGTACGATTTTCTTTACAATGAGACAAATCAAAACAAGTTTGTAATATATTACAAGTTGGCTTGTACAAAATTCCAATTGAGACAAATCAACCAATTAAAACAATTTAAAGTCAATAGAACATGTACAAGTCAATTGTATGTTCAAATTTTATGACTTTGCCCGATTCTAATTCAAATTATTACGCCTTCGTCGCGAGACTGGGTTGGTTCTGGAATCACTATACACATGAACACCTGTATCTAAAAGGTAAGTTGATTCGTAAAGTTGATCTAGAATCATCTTTCCATAATCTAATCTCACAAAATGTAACAGTGAGAAGGGTTCAGATCTACATGTGACATCTAGAGGAGTCTCACTCTTTTTCGTACTGCTAACTGCTTTATTATTGACATCTCGCATTTCTTTTTTCGTTAAACAGTCGGTTACACACTTGCTTTTTTCCATAAATAAATATGCATCCCAATCTTCTGTTCATATAAACATCAAAGTCATTTACTGCGATTCAGGACAATCAGTTTTGCAAGAGCTATACGTTGCATATACTCTCGACGTGATTTACAGTCACGCAAGCATGATTTTACGAACAACAGCTCGTGTTCATTGAATGAGGCCCAATGATTGGCAATTGGCGTCAACACACTCACACTTACATACTGTATGTTCAAACACGCACCTGTTACAGACGGATTATCACAAATTGTGATCAACTGCATCTGCCAACTGGAACATTTCCCTACATCTCACAAAGCAGCAGTAAATAATGACACTTAGAGAAAAAATCCCCCCCCCCAAAAAAAATCAATGAGAATACTATCACATTATGTTGGGTGGAGTATTTGATATTCCAGAGGTCAATCTGGCTCATTTGAATTTAAATTAATGTAATTCAAGTTGGTAAGCAAGTCAAGTTTTCTTTTAAAATGTTTTGTTTGATAGTCTTTCCGTGATTGGTGGCATCTCTACGGACGGATCTTTATCAAGTGTGTTCAGAGGTATAAACCAGTGGTCTGAGGGTCTGGGGGAGGTAGGAGGGGCTCAGGAAGGGGGTGGGGACTGTTGCCGGGTGTGGGCACTGCATTGCCGTTGGGAACCAAACAACTTCCTGAGTAGGCCACACTAGTGGAGTTGAGTATAAAGCCTGTCTCCATCTGAAAACAAACAAACAAAAACACAAATGTTAGAAGTATTTAGCTAAAAAGCTAGCTAAAAGTGAAAAGGTCCGTTCTCGCCATGTCGTAATTATGAGATTCTGACTTGTAAAAAGCATTTACTTTCGTGTGGAACACGATTTATTTTGCCATTGATTTGGCGGAACATCACGTGTTGTCATCTCGTATTTACGACATGGTGCGAATGCAGCAAATGTATCTAGCTAAAAAGGTTTGAGTGAATCTCATAAATGAACATTGTCCTTCAAAATGTCCAAAATCTGAATATAAAATGCACCACATGGCTTCTGTTAGGTTAGCTAAACATAGCTTTTAAGAGTCATATAGTGTTGATACAGAACAAAAAATCCACAGCAAGCAACCACGACAACTCATTAGCATTACTCATTAGTGACTTCTCTACTTTTGACCTAAATTATAGAGCTCACTTATGCCACTAGCACAGCGGTTGCTTATTTAAGTAGGTTAATAATGGCAGCTGGAAAACAGATGTTGCATTTGGTGGGGTCATTTAAGGTCTTCAAAAGATGCATTTGTAAACGGTCCTACTACTTGGCCCACTCCGAGTGGGATTCGAACCGGTGTGGGAAGTGGGTGTGTTAACAAGAACGCTACAGACCGCAGCCACTAGTGTCAGTCGCTAGCGCGCTTCTTGAGGCCAGGGAAGTGAGGTTTACATGCACAGCTCTTACTAGCCTATGTACCGTTACACATTCAACAGGATCACATATAGAAACACAAACTAATTGCTGTTTTTAGAAGCTAACTCATCAAAAATAACTACATTCAAGATAGACTTTGAAATGCATTCATAAACTTGGTTTAGCTTTATAACAGCAATAATTCTAACCCTCACTAATAATTCTGCTCAGAGTTTTAACATGGATCAACACCGAACAGACAAGACTGGATACAAGCAATTACAGGAATAATAGAAAATCATTTATTCATTCATTCATTTTTGGGATGATGAAGGAATGGTGTGCAGATGATAAGTAAATCCCTGGCAAAATCACAAAGCTCCAATAGCTAGTATTTGAAAGTGCAGTTTTAGTATGCATGAGGTAATGTTGATGCCGGATTGTAGGTCATAGCTGCTCATGCCTGACTGGGCATTTAAGCTCTATTCTCCTTTCAGCTGAGAGCAATGACCCTGAATACAGACACATACCCAAAGCCCAGAATTTAGTGCTGGACATAGACTGAATTGTCTCCCTTTCTGTCTTGCCTTGCCCTTTCATCAATGATTCACTTCTCTGTTTAACATCCTCATCCTCATTCCGATTTCCATATTATTTCTATCCATATCCCTCTTTTTTGTCATCAAAAGTTGCTCACATTTTCTTTTTTTTATATCATAACATGCATCTTTAAAAACTAGCCAATAAACAGTGCAAAAGTCACCACCACAATGTCAGGGCGTTGAAGTGCAACTGATAAGGTGTTCCGCATGATTTGTTAGCATGTTGCTAGTTTGTTACTCACAGGCCCAAGTCAAAACAGCCCACCCCAAATCTTTGAGGTCTAGATATGACTCTGGTCCCTCCTTCAGTCTATGTGTTTTTTTTTTCATATGTTTTGGTTATCTGACGGGTGAAGTGCAAGTCTAAATGCTTATAAAAGTAATAGCACCCCTCTTCCTCAACAAGCCACATGATTTTAGATATAATTTATGTCTGTAGCACAAACAACAACAGATATGTTATGCACCAAAGTTGTCTTAGCAAGCACTGCTTACAATCTACAGAAAACACAATCCCTATAGAACAACAGCATGGTGCCCTACATGTGGAAAGGCAAGACTGTCTGGATAAATGAGTGCAGACAGGGGCCCATGGTCTCAGAATATTGCCTGCTGCATGAGCGGTCCTTTTGTGGAGGCTTCTCTTCCTCTATCTCTCCTTTATAGCCTTGGGCTCCCCATTTACAATAGACTAGATGCTACAGTTGGCTGCCATCAGTACAGCGGAAAATGCTGGTGGGTTGACCTGGAAGCTTACACTCTTAAGCTGAAGATTACAATCTTAACCACAGTCACCATGATAAAGCAACACAGCAGGCAAAGCAAACATCCACCTGTGTGGGGCCCCACAGCGACTCTCCAGAGACTGACAAGACTTTGTAGGTCTGTCACTGTGTATTATGCAATCTCAGCACATTAGCTTTGACCCATCAGATCTTGGTCTCTTATACAGAGCACAATTAGGTCAGAGTGAGCATTTAGGCCAATGGAAATAAAGAGAGAGAAATATGGAGGGGGTGGAGTGGGCCATGTCAGGGTTTAGACCCCAGAATATCTTTAAACTACTATCCTAGACAATCCAAGTTGTCTCAACATCACAAACAATGTAAAATGGAATATTGTAAAGGGTGGTCAGAAGGAACCTTATCATTATATGAAATGTTAAAGACAAATTGACACAATTTCTAGTGTGTTATCCATCTATACCAAACTTGACAATGTCAATACCAAACAGGGTTGGACAGGGGTGTCCAATCCTCCTACTTGGAGGGCATCTTCTTTAATTCTTACCTTACTGTGGGTGGTGTCATGGGTCAGTTCAGAGCCGTAATCTGTCAATGAGGGAAGGTTTGAAGGTGTGACTAATCCCAGGATATGCTCCAGAGAGGAGTTCTGTTTGGTATAGGAGGCGTAATAATTGGGTGCGAACTTTGGCTGCTGCTGCTGTTTCTGATAACCCTGTTGATAGGACGAAGACCAGGCCATGGCTGCCTGAAACTGCCCTGCATCCACAGCTGAACTGCTGTTCATTGTAAAATCCACCCCTGAATTGTCAGTCATATTGCAGTCAACACGGGTACCCATTGTCTGTGTGTGTGCCTTTTGGCCATTGGGAAAACAAGGTCGATTTGTGACCAATTGGTCTGTGAAGTTGTATCCATGCCACTGGGGATCACCGTAGACCCCATTCGGAGGGGTGTCACTATCTTCAACTGTTTTCTGTTTATACTGGAATGGGACAAGCAACTGGCTGTGCTGCCATTGCTGTGGCTGTGCTTTACTAGTTATCTTGTCACCAAGTTTAGAGTTCAAGTTGGCTTGTGTGTGTTCAGAGACCCAATGACCATTGTGTTCAACTGGTACTGAGTTCACCAACAATGTATCATGCTGGTTAAAAGTAGTAGTCTCAGAGTCTGTTGTAGACACCTGAGGAATTGGCGCCTGGATCCAACTCTCGGTTTTATGGCAAACCGACTGGCCATTGAGATGTTGCTGCATACGCTGTGAGAGATGAATTATGGGTGCTATCTGTTTTTGAGGCCAGGAAGGGACGTGAGGAGCAGGTAGTGAGGAAGTAACTTGAGGAGCTGAGTCGGAAGCAGAACATGGCTTTGGGGGTTCAACAGAATCTAATGCTGCGGCAGGGTTTTGAGCATCTGCCGAGTCCTCTATCCGGTTCTCCAGAGAGTCGTGGACGTAGGAGAGGATTTCGTTGTTGGTGAGAAGATCATTCAGAGATGGTATGTAATCCGGTTCCATCTCTACTTGGATCATCCTCTCATCCAGAAGCAGCAACTCCAGGTCCTCTGCGTTGAGTCCAAGATTTTCCAGGGCACTGAATAGCTCACTGTTAGAGCAGCTCTCCTCAGTTTCCAGGGACAGAGAATCTAATGTTGCCAGTAGTGGGTCAAAACTTGATGGCTCCTGTTTGGAAACTACAGTTACACCATTCTGCACCGGATTCCAACTTTCATTCTCAGAAGAAGAGAAAGTGCTAGTCTCTCCTTGCTCATTGAAGAGGCTACTGTGGAATGACATTCTAGGCTCCATAGCAGGCTGGCAAACATAAACAGACTCGTCCTGTCTCATCATGGCTCCCAGCAGAGAACTTGGGTCCACATCATCCTTTGAGCTTTTGTCCACCTTTGTCTTTTTGGTTTTGTTGTTCTTGCCTTTGCCCTGAAGGGTGTCGGGGAAGCCTGGCATGGGGTAGCTGATTTGGTACAGCATAGCTTCTCCAGTAGCAAAGGTGAAAGGATGCATAGATCGCTTCCTCAAATGCTCTCCGCCCTCTTCTTCTCTGAATAAATAAATACAATAACTTTTTCAGTGGACGTGTAAAAAGTTCTTTCATCAAACTCTTGCTAATTTGCCATGCTATTTAACAGTTCAAAGGTGAACACTAGCATGCAACACAAACATTTTGTTTACTGTTAACAGAAGTATAAATGGGTATTAGCCTTTTACTCACACAAGCGGCCTCTGGGTGGCAATGATGTAGTCAGGCTTGCCATTTTTGTAGACAAGTCTAGCATTAGCTTGTACCCATTTCCAACGGTTGTCCTTTGTAAGCAGTCTAAACACAGTCAGGCCGCTTTCTCCAGTCTTGATCACTGCAAAGGACAATGCAACAGTTTGTAAACCCAGTTGAAATGTATAGACCAGATCTTAATCTGCTATAGACTGTTGGTTCCATATTCAATACTGAATTTAGGGCTCTAGTTCACATGTCTCTCTGCTCTTAATGACTCATCCATTCTCCTTCATAATCTATGGGATTATGGGAAAACATTCCTCTTCCTTTCTCTTACTCTGTCTATTTGTCTCTTTTTTACTCTTGCAGTAAACCAGCAGAGAAAATCAGGATTCACCAAATCCACACACATCTTGCCCATAAAATTGACATTATCAATCGCCTCCTGTGAACCACACTGAATGAGGGGACTGTCACTTGTTCAAGTATTTGTCTAAGCAAACAGGGTTAATGTCTTTTAGTGTCACTATAGTTTATTTTAGACACCAAGCCTTTGGCAACTATGTCAGCATGCATCAGCAGAAAGACAGTTCAACATAGCTGTTTCTGAATCTCAATTCAGTCAATCACATAATTGGTTAATTGAACTTGAAGGTTAAATTGAACTTTCTTTCTGAATTGAACAATAAAACTCTGAGATGACAAATCTGAAGAAATCGGAATATCTTACTCCTGACATGGTTCTCGGCGCAGTAGAGCATATCGGCTGCATGGATGAACTGATACCCTGAACCTCGAACTCGCAGCTCTGCCTCTGTGTAGCCAAGAACGATTTTACCCCTAAAACACAGGCAGAACCAAAATGTTCCATTTAATATGGTATTACGAAGATACCGTATGACTAGGATAAAAACACTTTTACACAGTGCATGTTATTTTGTATATATGTATATAATTAAATAATTGATCATCATTACTTAGCATCACAGGCCATTGGTGTGAAGTCCAACTTGTGTTTGGTTCTAAAAATCATGTTCTTGGTTCGGATCTCCATTATGGAAGGAGGCTGTAGGGGCGTTGCTATGGCAAACAGGGCGAGCTGGGGTGGCATTTGGCCTCCGTCATCCAATCGTCTGTTCTGTCCATGCAGGAATTTCAGACGCCCTAGAAGATTCAGGGCCTTAAAGGGGCATAAATGAAAACAAACCTTGAAATATCTACTATACAAAACTGCATAACGTGAAAAATATCAAAGTGGAATTTGATATTCAAAGAGGATGTACTGTATTTAAACTTCTAAAATTTAAACTTAACAACATCTAATTAAAAATATTTAAAATACATGGCAAGTACAACAAAAAGAATAACAACAATATGCCATGCAGAACAAACAAAAAACCATGTCGTATTACATTTGCATGAATGCACATGTAATGCATATGTACATACACAGTTGGAGCTAATGATTTTGTTGGCATACCCTTGGTGAACCACATAATTTGTCTCTGACTCAATGTGGCAATAGAGTTCAAGCTAGGTCATCCATCAATAAAGGTTGTACGACCTGTCTAGAATGTGTCATATCTGAATGTTTTCATTTTTTGTGACTGGTTACTAAACCTTACACCTTTTGTTCTGATTGGCGGAGATTATGACATCCACGAGTGAGTATTTTATGTATGTCATCTGTGATTTATTTAGTGTCATCTATAAATATGCACACACGCAAAAAAAAACCCCACTACACATTTCATGGCTGGAAGGCACTCTCGACAACCTATTTGTCATGTCATTCCATTTCTGGGTGAGCTATTCCTTTAAAGGAGTAGTCACTTTCAAATGAAAATTAGCCCATGATTTACTCACCCTCAAGCCATAGGTGTATATGACTTTTTTTTTTTTTTTTAAATATAACTCTGATTGTATTCGTCTGAGAGAAGAAAGTCATATACACCTAGGATGGCTTGAGGGTGAGTAAATCATGGGCTAATTTTCATTTTAAAGTGAACTAATCCTTTAAGGCTTGTAAATTTTGTGGCGCCTTGTGCAATACCTGATTTAAATTAGTCCTGCTTATGTAAGGCTACACAACAAATGCCTCATAGTATGTTTACACGACAACGATGTACTAAAAACGGTAAAGTTTTTCTTTTGCATCTTTCGCATTCGTAAAAATACGTTTGTAAAAACGATGACATCTGCGAAATCTGCAGATTTGAGAAAAATGACTAAAAACACTGTATTCTGCTGCCACTGCCAGGCTAGTAGTTGGCAATGTCACTTTGTAAAGAAACACTACGCACATATAGACTGAACACGTAAACTACGCATGTGCATGACGTTATCGTTTTCAAAAATGCACACTTTTGTAGTTTACACGTGGACGATAACGGTATCCTTTTCAAAAACTTGTACTTTGAAACCTGTTTTCAAATGTTTGTATTTTTCAGGCCCCCAACATATGGTTGTTGTGTAAATGAACGGCCAAAAAGTTGAAAACGGTGTCGTGTAAACATCCCCTTGGCAATGACTTCATGAAGTATTCATACAGAGACACGCATTAGTCACATTAGTGATGTCTATATTTAATTTGACGCAAACACAAATAAGGCTTTCAGTGCGACTTTACGATTTAGGGGTGTGTCAACTAAATACTGATGGTGGAAGCTAATTGGCCATAATTGCATTTTCATTGTGAACCTCCCAAGAGAACTTAACGGTTGCATTCTAAAATACCAAGCGGACCAAAAAATAAATAAATAAACGTAATGGAAAAGAGCTTGAGGTTGCTTGTATTTATAGTTCATACTAATGAATTTCTCTAAGCACACAGGGAGACCCCTGTTAGCTTTCCACTCCTGACAAGCTAAGTGTAGTCATGCTATTCTTGAGGGAGATTGATTTGGTAAAGATGGAGTGGAGAGGAAAAAACGTAAATGACTGAGAAAATAAAGGCTAAGAGTCCAGAGAATCCTGCAGAGTTTTGCACGCATAGTCATACAGATATCTTTACTTTACTACTGCATTGCCAAGATTAACAAAGAAAGAGACAGCTGTCTGGCTGGAGAAAATGAATGGGAAAAATATTTTCGGAATAAAGACTGCTGAGAGAGTCAGTGGTCACTGTTGCACTCTATAGCTAAAGTCTGATTTTCCTCAAATTAGCTTCAATTTAGGCTAACTGGAACAGGTTCTTGTACTTCTTGTTGTTTTGCTAATTTTTTCTAGCACAAATTAAAACCTTTTCCCCATGACCCTATTGCTCCTTTAAGAGGGATTACAGAGGTGTTCCAACAATTCTGATCTCTGGCAGCAATCCGACACAAGTGCTAACCTAGATGCTAACACACTCTGTAATCTGGAACATCGGGGCTTAGAGACTCTGAATAGCAAGATATATTCCAACATATGAACATTTCCTAATATTACATTAGCAGTTCCTATGTAGACAACTCGTTGGGTTTTTAGAGCGCCAAAGGAAAGCTTTAGCCCAGCTTAGCTAGTTGACACTGACCAGGAATCCAGAGGAATTGTCTAGGAGGCATCGGAAACGACAGACAAAATTTCTCTCCAGGAAAGAGGAGTTTTCTGGAGGCAGCTGGTCAGGGTTGCACATCACCAGAGACATACTTGGGGCAGGATCTCCATCTAAGAGAAACAAAGAAGAAAGACACGCTTTCAGACTTGGTGGCGTGTCTAGAATTTTTCAACAAGGGGTCATCATTGGATTATCCAATGACCACCATTTCTGTTTTTATCCTTTCTGTTTGCTGTTATCCTTAATTAAAATGGACGTTTTAGTGACCATAACATTTATTTTGTAACTCCAGGAGCTTCCACTAAAGGTCAAACCACCCTCGTCTCTCATTATTTAAAAAAACAAACAAAAAAAACCCCCTCTCTTTCATTTTCAGTTACTCTCTTCTAACTCAGGTGCTCTAAACTTGTTCATTTGAATATATGTTTAAATTATTTGGGTCTTTTATCAATAATTTGTAATGAATAATCATATGTTTTGGTTTGCGTCCATCAAGTTCCAAATAAAAAAAGGAATGAAATGAAACCCCTTTCGTTTATAAAACATGAATTCACTGGTTTATCAAAACATAGGCACTGCCACATGGTTATTTGATACATAAGCACATTTCCGCTGAATTTCGAGCAAAATTAACTATATAAAAAACAATATATAGTGCTACCATGATATAAAATGATATATTTCCTTACCTTGTGAGGATTCTTCTGTCTGTTTGCTGGTTGGAGGTGGGTTCAGAGCCCAGTGCAAGTTGTGTCTGAAGGCCTGCTGGTCTTCAGTATGAATGAGATCAAAGACATTTTGATGCATCACATCCGTCTGGGTGATCGAGGGACAAATGAAGAGGGACAGTGTGAGAGAAATAATGTTGAAAGGATGCAACATTATTTTATGGGGTTTTTTCAACAAAAATTTCAGGGCCAATTACAGATATATCAACAAGATATACAAGATTTTTTAAATGTTTTTGAAAGAAGTATCTTATGCTTTTGATCAAAAATACAAATTATGAAATATTATTACAATATAAAACAACTGTTTTCTATTAGAATATATTTTAAAATGTAATTTATTCATGTGATGCAGAGCTTAATTATTCATTACACCAGTCTTCAGTGTCACATGATCCTTCAGAAATCATTCTAATATGCTGATTTGCATATTAGAATGCATATATTTGGATATGCTATATATATATATATATATATATGAGTGTGTATGTGTATATACAGTATATATGCATTTGTACACATACATATATTATATATTTACAAACCTTTATGTTAATCGCGATTAATTGATTTGACAGCACTACTATATATATATATATATATATATATATATATATATATATATATATATATAAGAACAAAAGGAGGACAGTGTAAGCACATAAAATAAATAAGTAAAGTGATGTCATAGTTGGATAATTCATAAGTAAATTATGATGAATTGGATTACACCGTGCCAGGCTGAATCTCAGAGTAAAGCCTATTTGATTAAGCTCATTCAATTTCTACTGCATTCAAGCTGTTCCTCGAGAGACACCGCAGTATTATTCAGTATTAGGCAGATCTGATGAGTATATATGTGTGTGTGTGTGCTAAGAATAGATATGAGAAGTATAGAATGATTATCCAACAGCTGAGCCTGACGTCATTTTGATTCTGGGAATATGTACGTCGTACAGGGGATACTTATCAATCAGATTAAAACTGTGTCCTGACCTTAGTTACAATGTGAACAGACAAATTACACGCCATGCAAAACTTGTTACATCACGCCTGATTTGGAAATAATTTAGCTGCATAAGCAGCCTACTTCAAAATAAAGGCCAATTCACACTAAAAGAAATGCAACAAAGCAGCATTCTTTTTTTTACACTTTTTAAAATTTTGTGTCGGAACATAATATGGAGAAACATTTTTCATTTAAATATGTTTAGTTAGTATTTCATGAAGAGATAAACGGCATTATCCAATCCCAAAATTCAGGTTCCAATGATATTAACCTAGCTGTATATTGGATTAGTATTATAACAGTGACTGTATGATAAATACAGTATCGCTGTGTCCGAAATCAAATACGTCCCTTCTATATATTATGAAAAAAAAAAACAGTGTACGCCAAAAGAGTAGTGTGTCAGAATACATAGTATTCGAAAAACAGTAGGCGACTTCCGGCGAGATTCTGAAGTGTGCATTCGATGGACACTTTACTATCCCATGAGGCCACGGGAGAGGATTTATGAATGGCAATGAAGTAACGCAACTGATGCTGGAAGGTCACGTGACAGTAACAACATGACGGATGTAGTATGTCCGAATTTCATTCATACTCCTATTCCTACTATATAGAGCATATTTTTTAACCATCGAGAAGTAAATTCAAATTCAAATGTAGTACCTACCTACTCAGACAGAACGCGATTTTGGACGCAGCGAATGTGTTTATGTAAGAGACTGTTGAGAAGGATAATTACCTGGTGGAATCCTAAATAATCCTGGATGGTGTGAGAACAGTAGAAAACAATCCCCTCAGCAGTGACCACCAACACAAAGCCATTGAGCGCCTGTGACCATACATGAACGAACAAAGAAACACAGAAAATAAAACTATTAGTTTACTGGTCATTATGGGTCAGATGGACAACTTGCTTTTAATGAAGGACTAGTTTGATTCTCTGTGCGTTTCTACATGCTTCTACGTTCTAAAGAGCCCTAAAATGGATCGACAAGTATAGTTTTCCTTCCTGTGTAGATGTATTTCCTGTTAAAACAGGAAGTTGGAGCGAGGCATATCAAATGACAATATTTTGAGAAATGTTCAATGGGCATTTGTTTACGTTACAGTCATTATATTTACCTAGGTGTTGTTCAGGTACAATTTAACAAGGAAGAGCAACATTTTCCCGGAAGAAAAATATTATACATTTTAATTGCTTATATGCGCTACAAGTAAAGTTGTCTGCATATGATGGCTAACAGCTAACAGATGTGTATTACGTAAAAGCCACAAAACTTCAATCTTGATTTCAAGTGAACTTTAGCCGTATAAATATATACTGATTTCTGTTCCCTTTCGAGAACGGTCACTTCGTGTTGTGTAGCTAATACGCAGTGGGAAAACGTCTCAGGTTACGTATGTAACCCTGGTTCCCTGATAGGGAACGAGACGCTGCGTTTGAGACGCGGTGGGAACGCTCTGCGTGATTGCGTCGTAAAGCACGTGTAAAATCAGTCCAATGGAAACATGAGACGTCAATGATGACGTCATAGACCAGGAAGCTATAAAGCAACCCTGAAATCAGACCGCGACAGCTTCTGGAAAGGCTGAAGCAAGTCGATCAGGGCATGCAGGAAGTATGGCTGGCGAACGCACCGTCTCGTTGCCTATCAGGGAACCAGGGTTACATACGTAACCTGAGACGTTCCCTTTCAAGGGAACTCGAGCTGCGTTTGAGACGCGGTGGGAACCCCATACGCCATAATGACAAATGCCCGTTCTGAATGAAGTCCTTGCGCATCCTAAGAAGTGAGCAACCTAGCCCCTGGAGTGGAGAGGTCTAGGTCATAAAATCTAACAAATGTATGTGGCGAGGACCAGCCTGCCATATTACAAACGTCATGAAGGGAAACACCCGAAATTAAAGCCTTAGAGGCAGCCATACTCCTGGTAGAGTGGGCCCGAACAGCCATAGGTGAAGGGTGTCCGGCCGCCTCATAAGCAAGTGAAATAGCCTCAACTACCCACTTGCTCATTACCTGTTTAGATGCAGGGCAACCTCTCTTAGGTGACCCGAAGCAGATGAATAACTGCTCAGATTTACGCCACAGGGCAGCTCTGTGAACATAAGCATCCAAAGCCCGAACGGGACATAACAGATTAAGATTTTCCTGATCTGGTAAAAAATGGTAAAATGGTAAATGGACTGCATTTATATAGCGCTTTCACAGACCCAATGGCCACCAAAGCGCTTTACATTTGCCTCACATTCACCCATTCACACACTCATTCATACACCGACGGCGGTGTCAGCCATGCAAGGCTCGTCGGGAGCAGCTGGGGTTAGGTGTCTTGCTCATGGACACCTCGACACTTGGTCAGGTGGAACCGGGAATTGAACCACCAACCTTTCGGTTCGCAGACAACCTACATGAACCACTGAGCCATTGCCGCCCCAGTGGCTTATCTGGGGTAACAAAAGGTGGAGGATAAAAGGCCTGCAACACTATTGGGCCCGCAACATTAGTAGGGACCTTAGGTATGTAACCCGGCCTAGGGTAAAGGAACGCCTTCACCATACCAGGCGCAAATTCCAAGCATGAAGGAGCAACCGACAGGGCTGGCAGATCTCCAATTCTTTTAATTGAAGAAATGGCGAGAAGTAAAGTTTTTAGAGTGAGGAACTTTTCTGTAACCTCTTCAATAGGCTCAAAGGGAGCCAAGGCCAGACCCTCAAGTACAATGGCCAAATCCCAAGCCGGTGCTCTAGAGTGCAGTGCAGGTCTCAACCTCAATGTACCACGGAGAAAACGAATAATAAGGGGATCTCTCCCAAGAGATGTGCCCCTCAGAGGGGTGTGGTAGGCCGATATAGCGGCCACATATACCTTCAAAGTAGAGGGAGATAACCCAGCAGAGAAACGGACTTGCAAGAAATCAAGAACTGAACCGACAGGGCAGTTAGCGGGATCTACCAGGTGGAGAACAATTTCCATTTCAGTGCATATAGTTTCCTCGTGGAAGGAGCTCTGGATTGGAGAATGGTCTCAACGACCTCAGTCGAGAGACCAGATTCTATGAGCCGGGCCCCCTCAGAGGCCAGGCCCACAGTTTCCACAATTCCGGATGAGGGTGAAATATTGTGCCCCTTGCTTGGGACAGCAGGTCCCTCCTGATTGGAATCTCCAGAGGAGAGCCGTCTAGAAGGGACACTAGGTCCGAGAACCATAATCGAGTCGGCCAGTAAGGGGCTAATAATTATAGATGGGCCCCTTCCCGGCGAACCCTCTCCGAAATGCATACAAGTGCAGCCTCGGCCACACCTGCACCATTGCATCCAGTCCGAGAGGAGCTGGATACGTCAGGGAGAACCACATAGGACAATGGGTTGTATCTAATGATGCGAAAAGGTCGACTTGAGCTTGACCGAATCTCTTCCAAAGGAGCTCCACCACCTCGGGGTGAAGCCTCCACTCCCCGGGCCTCAGCCCCTGCCTCGACAGGATATCCGCTCCCAAATTCAAATGCCCCGGAATATAAACCGCCCTGATCGATAACAATTTCCGCTGGGCCCATAGGAGGATCTGATGGGCCTGCTTGCAAAGGTGACGTGACCTCAGACCCCCCTGATGGTTGATATACAAGACCACCGAGGTGTTGTCCGAGCGGACCAGAACATGGTGACCCCTCAGGTCGGGCAGGAAGTATTTGAGAGCCCGAAATACCGCCATCATTTCCAGGCGATTTATGTGCCAGGAACATTGACGGTCCTGCCACAGACCTTTCGCCGAGCGGCCACTCATGACCGCCCCCCATCCCGTGAGGGAAGCATCTGTCGATAGCGTGAAGCGTCGACAAGAAGCCCCCAGCACTGCCCCCAGCACTGGGCCCTGGGCGAGGAACCAAGGTTTCTTCCACATGACCAAGGCACGAAGGCATTGCCGCGTGACCTTGATCGTGCAAAACGGATTTCCCCTCGGAGAAAACCCCTTGGTCCGGAGCCACCACTGCAGGGGTCTCATGTGCAGAAGGCCAAAAGTAACCACGTTGGACGCAGCTGCCATGAGCCCCAACAGTCTCTGAAACTGTTTTACAGTGAGTGACTGGCCTAGTTTTACATTCTTTACAGCTGTGAGAATCGCAGAAATACGTACAGGCGACAGACGTGCTTGCATTGTTGTCGAATCCCATAATACACCTAGAAAGTGGTCCTCTGAGCTGGGAGGAGCACACTCTTTTTGGTGTTGAGCCGCAACCCCAACCTTTTTATGTGGGCCAGAACGACATCTCGATATCGAACTGCCAAAAGCTCGGACTGAGCTAAAATCAACCAATCGTCGATATAATTTAATACGCGAATGCCCTGGAGTCTCAGAGGAGCCAGAGCTGCATCCACGCATTTTGTAAAGGTGCGGGGTGATAAACCTAGGCCGAAGGGAAGAACCCGATATTGGTATGCTTCGCCCCCGAAAGCAAACCTCAGGAATTTCCTGTGATGAGGATGGATAGATACATGGAAGTACGCGTCCTTCAAGTCTATTGTGACAAACCAGTCCTCGGACTGAATCTGAGATACAATCTGTTTGAGTGTAAGCATCTTGAACTTGAGTTTCTGAACTCTGCTGTGTAACTGGCACAGATCTAGAATAGGACGCAGCCCTCCATCCTTCTTTGGGACAATGAAGTATCGGCTGTAAAACCCTGACTCTCTGTTGGGAGGAGAAACCCTTTCTATAGCCCCTTTTTGCAGAAGTGTCAGTACCTCTTGTTCCATAACCAGAGCCTGCTGGGAGTCCACCACTGTGGGAAGGACCCCTTGAAAACTGGGCGGACGAGAACCGAACTGAATTCTGTAGCCCTTCTCTATTACACGCAGGACCCATAGAGAAATATCTGGCAGAAGTTTCCACGCTGCCAGAAATTCTGATAAGGGGACCAGTCTCTCGAGACTGGCCTCTGGATTTGGTTGAACAACCATTTCGGTGCCCTGAAACGACGAACCGGCAGGGAGCAACCGAACTGATCGTTCTACGATCCTCCTCCTCGTATGGGGACGCTGACACCTCGGTGCCCTGAAGCGGCGAACCGGCAGGGAACAACCGAAGTGGCAGCGCTGCGACTCTCCTCGGAGAATCGCCCCCCAGAGGGCGCCACGGAGAAACGATTCCTCGAAACCGTTCCTCCCTGGAGGGGACCACCCTGAGAAGTCTGACAGACTGACTTTGTCCAAGCTCTCTTGGTAATGACAGTCCTCAGATCTTGTCTCCCCCTAAAGGGCCTGGATTTCGACCGCCACCCAGGATCCCCAGATTGTGGGGGAACCCGATTGGCGACACTCTGTTTTTGCTGCACTCTGTGCTGCTGTGAGGAGCTGGTAGACGGACGAGGCTGCTCAACCTTTATAACACGAGCAGCCTCAGGGACATTAGATCGGCGGGGAAGAAACCTCTGGAGCGCAGCAGACTGTTTTTTAGTCTCTTGAAATCTATCAACCACACAATTAATAGCATCACCAAACAGATTTGTGGGTGAAAGCGGGGCGTCCAGAAGAATAGATCTATCTCTATCTTTTATCTCCGAAAGATTTAACCATAAAATGCGTTCCATGGCCACCAGGGCTGCCATAGATCGGCCAACAGATTTGGCCGTCTCCTTGGTGGCCCGGAGAGATAAATCTGTCGTGCAACGCAATTCTCGAATTGCGTCAGCACTAATTTCCTCACAATCGTCAATGTCCTTCAGCAGGTCAGCCTGGTATGCTTGGAGAATAGACATGGTGTGCAAGCATGCCGCGGCCTGACCTGCTGCCGAATATGCTTTACCCATCAATAAAGATGTATTTTTTAATGGCTTGGTGGGTAACATCGGGGCTTTCAGTGATGACGATGACTCGGGGGAGAGATGGCTCGCAAGCGTCTCTTCAGCACGAGGCATCGTCAAAGAACCATAGTGTGAAATACCTTTAATATTACTATAGTTAAGTGTTTGTGGATTATGCACTCTGAAAGACACTGGGCCTGTGGCCATCCGGCGAGACAACGCTACATATATCCTTTTACTGCTGCTCTTGTGCTCACGCTGCAACACTCAGCTTTTGTAAAAGAGCAAATTTCTAACGAGGCGTTGTTTCAAATGCCTCGTTCATCTTGCATCTTGTACGGAGCTCGTCTACACGAGGATGACGGGCACGCGGAGTGCCCCAGGTGCCTGGGACCCGCCCACGCTGAAGCTGCACTCTCTGCCATGGGCTGTTCTCACTGTGAGAGCCTGCCCATCTCAACGCTGCGGATGCGGTTAGCTCTCTTTCAAGATGGTGACACCGCTCTTCCTAATCTTCCTTTCCCGGCGCTACTTCAGCCACGGAAAAAGAAGCGCCGCAGCCAACGGCAGCCCGAGCACAGGGAGTTAAGCGAGCCCACGCCGGCCACGTCCCCGGATGCTTCGCTTTCTCCATCACAGTCTTCTCCGGTCCTGTTCACTCAGGCAGACCAGCGCCCCTCCCCTCATGCGACGGGCCTCGTCTCATTCGGCGGATCGGATGAAGAACACTACAGCCTCTCCATTGCTGCGTCTGAGGAAGAGGTGGACCCCGCCCTCTCACAGTCCTGTGCTAGCGCTACAGCTAATACCACGAGGACTAATTCGGACGCCGAAATTACAAGAGCCTTTGGATGCGGGTCGCTCCCCATCCACGCTCAAAGTCTACATGGCGGCCATGCCAGCTCACCATGCTTTTGTGGCTGGCCAGACCCTGGGGAGAAACGGCCTTATCGTCCGTTTTCTCAAAGGAGCCAGGAGGGTCTGAAAGGTCCCCCGTTCAAACCGCTACAGTCGGTTGATCTCAAGCCACTTTCGCTGAAGACTGCTCTGCTGTTGGCTTTGGCATCAGTTAAACGAGTGGGAGATTTTCAGGCGCTCTCTGTGAGCCCCTCCTGCCTGGAATTTGGGATAAATGACTCCAGGGTCATTCTCAAGCCAAGGGACGGTTATGAACCTAAGGTGCTCTCAACCCCGTTCAGAGCGCAGGTCATTACTCTGTTAGCACTCCCACCCTCTGAGAATGATGGTGGCGCTAATCTACTTTGTCCCGTTAGGGCTCTAAAAATATACTTAGAGCGTTCTGCGTCTTTCAGGCAGTCAGAACAGCTCTTTGTTTGCTTCGGCGGCCGCACCAAAGGGGCTCCGGTCACGAAGTAGAGACTATCCAGATGAATAGTGGACGCCATCTCGCTGGCATACGCCTCTGTGCGCCAGGTTTGTCCCATAGGCGCTAAAGCCCATTCCATGAGAGGCATGGCCGCATCGTGGACGTGGTCCAGTGGTGTACCAATTCAAGATATTTGTGCGCCGGCCGGTTGGTCCTCGCCGTCCACATTTGTCAGATTTTATAATCTAGAGGTTCCTTGCCTGCAGGCCAAGGTCCTATCAGTATGACATTAACCCGACGGTGTCTGGTTTTTATCTGTCTAGCATATTACTGTCCATAAGCACAAGTAGTCCTAGGACGGTTATGAGCCCCAGTTTTTATTCATGAACCCGACCCTGTCCGGTTAGTGTCATTATACTTGTTCTGTTGAGCTTCGGGGTGTTTTCCCTAGGCTCGAGTTAATTCAGCCAATTGCTAATGTGCGGCGTTTTACATTGCGTCCCCACTGACCCACGTGACCGTTCTCGAAAGGGAACGTACTCGGTTACGTTACTAACGTTACTAACGTTACTAATGTAACCTCGGTTCCCTGAGAGTAGGGAACGAGTATTGCATAGCCTGCCACACTATTGCAATCTGCCAGGATGTGTCACTTCAGTCGATTTAAACCTGGTATTTTGGCCGAAATGAGCGATATTTATAGGCTTAGGCCACGCCCATTTAGGCACGCTCTGACGTACTCGGCACGTCAGAGCACGCCGAGTACGTTTCACAGGTAGGGGTTTTGCAATTTGAAAACCTTTGGAGGATGCAAACATTCAATTGTTCATTTAAATGATTTTATTCACATAAAAAAAAAACTAGCAAAGAAACGCAAGAATTCTGGTTACAAATAACCAATGCTAGACAAAAACAAAAATATAAGGACTATAAATACACAGAAACTAATGATTAAACATACCTGGAATTAGTGAACAATGACATGAAGAAAGAACAACTTCAAAATAAAAGCCCCATTTTAAAAGTTCACTCCAATATAAAACAACATAAAATGAGATCTATTAAGAAATATAAGCTACAGTATATGTGTGTTGTCTGCAAAGAAAAACAAATGGATAATGCTAAACCAGCCAAATATTGACTACATTTAAAAAAAAGTGGTATTACTGTAGATTTTGATGAAAGGATCCAAAAAAAAAAAAAAAATGCTAAAAAACCCACAGACAGTTATTGAGAAAGTAAATATTGTCCATTTCATGCTGCCATTAAATACATTGTGTGAGTATGTGCTCTTGTGCTGTGTGCATTTTTGTGGAGGGGATTTTACACCTCATCACCATCTGGTGGGCTCTGAGTGTGGATCTGTGTGATTATAGTAATCTGATGCATCGACAGCACAGACACTACAAAAACATTTACTGTAAAAATCCACTGTCGATAAAAGCCAAGAGCACTGGCTGTGAACTGGTAATCAAGGTTAGGTTAGGGCTAGGGTTGAACAGTGTAACGCTCAAATAAGTATGTTAGAATAAATGAATTAACAAATGCACAATACATATACATTCATTCATATAGTGCATTTATTTGAATACAAGTACCCAATTCTTTCGAGAGGGCTCTTAAATATAAAATAAAACTAAATTAGTACTAAATTCTAAAATCCTGGCTAACATAAGTTGACATCAGGGAAGAAATATATACTACTAAAATACTGTAATATTGTTGAAAATGGTTACTTTTATAACAGTCATAATAAGATGAAAAATGACAAACACTGTGCATCCTCTGGGACTTCCGTCTGAGCGTAAATAAGGGCTCTCTTGAAATCCTATCAATGTTTTATGTAGGCTGTGTAGGCTTATGTTTGTGTTGCAAACATACTGATCTAGAACCACTCACTGCTTTCTAAATGCAAACTGAATCCTATAAACTAACATGATATGATGAGGCAAAAAGCAATACATCACAAAAAATAATCTCTTCCACATTAATCTACGATTGCCTTTGCCAAATTATATGCACACAGAAATGTCCTGCAGTGTATTAACATAAAGCAATAAGCCACAAGATTCAGAGTGCGTAACCCCATCATAAGTCGAACAGCAGTTTTAGGGGTTATATCTTCCAGCGCCCCTCTCATTTGCTTGAACATCTGCATTGTATGCCAACACACACACACATACTCCTTCATACATGCACACCTGGGCCAAACACACTCAGAAAACATGGCCAAGTAGCAGCACTCAGTATAAATATTTCGGCTTGTTGGTCGGCAGAACAGCCCACACTGGGCTCTCGTGGGGCAGGAGGGGGAGGGGGGCAGCAGTCAGGAAGCATTACTATCAAATATGTACCACTGCATCATTCACAGTCCAACACACACAACTATACACAACACAGGGGAGTGAGTGAGTGAGAGAGAGAGAGAGAGAGGGAGAGAGAGAGAGAGAGAGAGAGAGAGAGAGAGAGAGAGAGAGAGAGAGAGAGAGAGAGAGAGAGAGAGAGAGAGAGAGAGAGAGAGGGAGAGAGAGTGAAGCAGAGAAACAATAGTGGTAGAGAGGGCAGACAGACAGACAGACAGACAGACAGATAGATAGATAGATAGATAGATAGATAGATAGATAGATAGATAGATAGATAGAGAAGGAGAGGAAGGAAGGAAGGAAGGAAGGAAGGAAGGAAGGAAGGAAGGAAGGAAGGAAGGAAGGAAGGAAGGATCGATAAAAGAAATGTAAGGAAAAACAGACAGGAAGAAAGGAAACAAGGTAAAGGAGTAAAAGAATGAAGGGACATTAAGGAAGGAAGGAATTAAGGAGGGAACGAACGAACGAAGAAGATGAGGGTAAAGGTAGGTAGAAATAGAGATGAATGAAGGAAAGAAGACAAGCATAAAGGAAGGAATAAATAGACAAGAAGGAAGAAAGGAAGGAAGGCAGGAAGGAAGAGATGGATTGATCAAAGAAAATGCAAGGAAAAATAGAAAGGAAGAAAGGAAAATTAGTAAAGGAAGGAAGGAAATAGAAAGGAAGAAAAGATAGAGAATGAATATGGGCAGAGATAATGTAAAAGAATGAGTGAGAAAATTAAAAAAGTGTAGACAAGGAAGGATGGAAGGAAGAAACAGCAGGAAGGAAAGATAAAAGTAGAGGCAGAGAGAATGTGAGAGCATAGATGAGGAAATGAAAAAGTGTAGCCGTGAGTGGACAGGTGGTTCAAACTTCTCAGAACTGCTGTGACAGGATGGACAGAGCAAAACTTTCAAAGTATAAAAAAAATGAGAGAATACTTTTACCTCTTATTTTATCCTTCCTTTATAATACATGAGAGCTCTGTCTGTGCATTATTCATGCCTAAGTGTCTGAAACGAGAACAAGGCTGGGCAGAAATAGCCTCTCCTTCCTTTTCTCCTTCCTTAAGGGCATAGCTTTAAACGACTCTTTATAACATGCTATGAAGGCACAGGAACGCCATAAACATGTACACACACGTGTGTTTTTACTCCTGACCTGTAGTAGGAGCTCTCCCTCATGCAGCCAGCCGTCAACCAATCCCGTTGCTTTACTGTTGTCACGGTTACTGTTGTTGGCCGACAAACCATTGCAGTTGTGGTTTTTCAGTGCAACTGTTGACAGAAAGAGCAAGAAAGGGAAAGTTAAGTATACAACTAAATTTAGTAGTGTTTGCTAAGTTAAGTATCACTATTACGTTTCGAAAATGAAAATTAAGTCATAACTTACTCACCCACGTGCTGTCTATTCCAGCATATGGCATTAGAACAACACCAGGGTGAGTAAGTTATGACTTAATTTTCATTTCAGGGTGAATTAACCCTCTAAGTAGGCGTAACCCTTTCTCAAACTTATGAGGTTACGGAAATAACACAAATCTCACGTATTTACTTCTCGGAAGAAAAAAAGGCTCAAATGTTGCTCTTTTATAACTCATGTGACTTAATGGAGATCTCATGTATTTCATTCACTTTGTCTCAGGTGTTTCTCACAAAATTCATTAATAAGATAAATGTAAACAGACACAAATTAGATTTTATTTTTACAGACAATAAGAGTATACAGAGATATACAATTAACATGGTTAGCATAGCTCACGTTGTCTTTGATGAGAAATATTTGTTTTCAAATTGAGATCTCTGACTTTAGTACAGATTTTACAAAATCAATGAGAACTTGTTGAGACTTCTTGAAGGAGACACAAGAATCAAATCATAATGTTACAAACAGGGGATCGTACACAGATGTCTTTATTTAATCTCAATTTTATCTCACAGTAAAGGAGAAACAATTCAGATATCAAAGAGGTCTCATTTGAGGTTTAGTTCAGTTCAATTATATTATATTCACTTCAAGATATTCAAGATGACTCAAAAATAACAGGTTTCCCACACACTCTGCCATTGGCCAGGCAGACAGAAAGCCCCGCCCCTAACTCAAGCCATTGGTTGAGTCACTGTTGCCATGCCAGGCTGGTCGGAAACAAACAGAGCAATGTTTTGCTAGCCAAAGAGACCCCATGTTTTAACTTTTCAAGGATCTCAACCTACAAATAGGTAATGTATTATTAAACTGACAAAGTATTTGAACATCCAAAAATGTTTTTAATTGTTATATAAGATTCATCTTACTTTCTTTTCAAGGTATTTAGTATTTAATACGGTGTGCTCTAAAAACGATTCTGTGCTGTTTTCATCTCGGCCAGTAATGGATTTGGTCTGTGTGTCCCTCTTTCAGGACAAGACAAACTCTTTTGAGCATTAAAGGAGGAACTGACCTACAAACGACAGGGGAAATGGAGAGAGACAGGCCAGGAGAACAGGGACACGAAAAGCTTTTTTTTACTGAGAGAGAGAAAGACAGAGAGAGAGAGAGAGACAGATAAGGGAAGAGGAAGCACTTCTCACTTGTGCGAACATACGTGGAAAACGCATTTGGGCACGGTGAGAGAAGGTCACCTCGCTCTCGCTCATAACCGCCTGGCAACAACATAAGCAAATGTGTCATATTTTATTAGCATCTTGTGGCTTATATGAAACCTGTGAAGTACTCAGCACAGTGTCGAACATTTGTTTATTGATATCGTCCAAAAACGTCCACAATAGCTGAACTACGACTTGCGCCAATTATTTCCATAACCGGAATCCCGTTCAAGCAAATGCCTCTTGATGTCATGCAAACTAGAATTTAAATTCATTTGACGATTACATGTGGCCCCTTTTTATTCTCCTTTGCCGACCTCTGACCCTTTTTAAATAGCCCCGACGCACAACTTATCGTGACCCCTGACCCCTGCCGAGCCATGATGCAATGAGTGAAAATGAGGTTGACGTTATTCACTTAACATTAGGATCCAGTCAAGAAGAAAATTGTGATATTACAGACTCTGATGTTAAGACTTTTTTTTTTTTTTTCAGAGAATTGATCTCAGATTGAGTTTTTAACCTATATATTTTTTTTTTTTTTTTTTTTTTTTTTTGCACAAACATGAATAAAACTTGAATAAACTATTTGGTAAAGTGGTTATAAAAATAAACTTAATTCATCAACCTGTTTAAATCCATTCCAACACAAAACGTCTTCACATATTTTGCCTGCACCCTTTAACCACTTTTTAATAAAGCGGTTCGACCACCGCTGCTTTAGTGTGTTTCCCATTTACCCTTCAAAAAGCCTCACAATGGACTCTGCTGTAGCGTGAAATAAGCGCGACCAATATCAGCGTTTACATGCGCTACGGGAGCCAAACTCATTTAACACTAGCTCGTTGTAGGCCGAGGGCTGCGTTGAACAAAACATCACGTTAGGGGGGCCTCAACAATGTTTTTTTTTAAATGTATCTTTTTGTTAAATCTTGGTCTCCCCATGGAGAACTGATGCTCTTCTGGAGCTAATCAAGTCCAGAATCAGCTTTAATGCTGATGTTATTTTAGTATTATTTATATGTTATTATAGTATTTATTAATAGTATTTACTTTTAGATTTTCTTTTATTTTGGCTTCATTTCAATTATCAAAAATCATTTAAAAAAAAGTTTTAGTTGATAACAACACTGGATTTAATGCCGCAATAGTTGGGTAAAACAAAAGGGGAAACAATTTAACTAATTTCATTTGCGAGATATATTAATCAATTAAGATTAATAAAGCAACAATATTGGCAATAAAAACAAAACTGATGTCTGTAGACATTTTACAATTCTTAAAATTAATTTCAATACCATATTAAATTTCATTATTATATTGAACACATAATTATTCATGTTAATATTTAAAAATTATTATTAAAATATTGTTTAAAATTAAAATAAACATTTTGATAAATAATAATATGAATTCAAACATTATTTAGATATTATTATATATAATATCTATTATTATATAATATAACTATTAAATATTAGCATGTACTTTGCTTTTTTCATGTACAGACGACAACATTGTCAAAACGATCCCCGTTTACACGGCTAAAATGCCAGGCCAGTAGTTGGCGATTTCACTTTGTAAAGAAACACAATAAATTGAACACATAATATGTATGACGTCAACCGTTTTCACAAATTCACATTCTTTGTAGTTTACACGGAGACGACAACGGTCGGTGTAGTTTTCAAAAACGTGCACTTTGAAACCTGCTTTCAAAAGCTTGCGTTTTCGGGCCACCAAAACGTCATTGTCATAAAAATGAACGGCCAAAACGCATACAAAGTTTCATGTTTTTAGTTTAAAATGGTGTAGTGTAAAATTAAGTTAAAATTAGCTCAAACATTTTCAGTAATTTTTCAAGTAAAAGCAGTAAGTGTTTTTCACTTCAATAATCTTGTTTGATAAACAATATAACAACACAATACACACAAAAATTGTTTTGTTTTTTTGTCGGTTGTTTATAATCACTTTCCTTAGTATCTTGCCAAGGCAGCCATTTTGATGTAGTGCGTTTGAATGTTCGCAAACAACCTTCACAGAGCATGTGCGCACTTAGCTATAGGCAAGTATTGTAAAGTATCAGTCAATCACACAAATGTTTTTAGTATAGCATATTTCAGAAGATTAGGCTTTGATATGACCGTAATAAGCATAGCAGCAGTTAGTGGCAGTGATGAAAACAGGAGGCTAAGATTGTTTCGGTGACCCTGACAATCCTTCTTATATGCTTCAAAGACCGACGGGATGTTTAAGGCCTTTTTCCCATGATCTTTAGCTCCTGTCTCATAGAGCTGGAGACAAAGGGTGAAGGGCCACAGCCAAACACAGACCCAACTCTGCACGCAACCACACCATGTATGTATGCCAATGACACTGCACCATTTACGCAAGCAAATGACCAACACGTCAACACATGTAAAACGTCTATAATGACTATTTATAAGACCATTACATTTTTTGCATCGCAAAATAATCTTGATGGCCTTAAAAACAGGCTTTATTTTCTTAAAGTCCGCTAAAGGACTTGAAATGAACAATGTCGTCGTACATTAGGTGACAGATGAGATAGCCATTCCCTTCGGAGGGGATTCAGAGGGTTTCCGGGCCGTTTCGCATGCTTGTGCTATGGGGTTTAACTGTGTTTATGTAGCGGGCCCATTGCGGGTCACTGCACATCGAGTCTCTGGGGACGGAGACTCTGGAAAACCTGCACTAAATGCTTTGGCTTGGTTTCTTGTGGTTTTACCGACGGAGTCCAAACAGCCGAGGGGATATATGAATGAAGTTCAAATGTCAGTATAATAAATAGGAAAAATAAAGAGTTACAATACTTATTTTTAACAAAATGTCAGCATGATAAAGAGGGGTAAATAAAAAGTTAGAATATATATATATATATATATATATATATATACACATATATTGTACAAAATAATATTATATAACTATAACTATATATATATATATTGTACTACAATATTATTATATAACTATAACTATATATATATATATACACACACAAAAATTAAGATTTTAAATATTTGATATATTGTTTTACTGACAGGGTCAAAAAAGCTGAGAGAAAAAAAGAATAAAGTATAAATAATAATATAATTAAACAAAAAAAATGTTGGTTGAGAATATATTGATTTTATGTTTAGAAACAACTTTTATTTTTTTTAATGATTAAGTACCGGTAAGTACTATTAACAAAAGTATTTATATACAAATGCATATCACAATTACAAATAATTAAAATAAACAAATGTATTTAAAAAAAAAAAGAACTAAGAATACATTTTATGCTTAAGAATTAAATATAAAACATATTACAAAATAATTACAATAATAAACAACAACACACACACACAGTTGTTTATTATTTGAATTATTTTGAAATGTTTTTTATTTTATTCTTAAGTACAAACGCACACACACGCGCGCGCGCACACACACACACAATATTTGTTTTGGGACGTCTGCCTTTACATGCACATGAACTTTAATGACATCCCATTCCTAATCCGTAGGGTTTAATATGGAGTTGGCCCACCCTTTGCAGCTACAACAGCTTCAACTTTTCCAGGAAGGCTTTCCATAAGGTTTAGGAGTGTGTTTATGTGATTTTTTGACCATTCTTCTGAAAGCATTTGTGAGGTCAGGCACTGTAGGACGAGAAGGCTTGGCTC